CTATAATAGATATGAACTTACAATCCTATAGCATAATAGTTATAAACTTTGAAAATTAGCTAATTCCAATTATTGATAGGAAGAGACAACAAAGACTAAGCAAGATGAGGATGTTGAACTTGAAGATGAGGTAGCAGATGCAGCTGAAGTCTACAGTCCTTTAAAGTATGATGAATATGATGACACTGACATGTGGGATGCATATAATAATGCATTTTAGCTATCTTGAACTTAAGACTTAGGTGCATTTTTCTCCTCTTTCTCTTCCATAAAATGTATATTTTGCTTAATTTACTTATATACACAATCTCTCTTTACTGTGTTTTATCGTATTCCAAAAATGGCCTTTTTTGGGGGTAAATACTAGAAGTTGCATTTGTTCACCTTGTTGATGCCTTGTTGAAGAGGGAAGGCATTATTTTCCATCAATAATTCTGCCTCTCCCCTAGGTTGGGCGGTTGGGTCTATATCATGTCACTATGAAGTGTAGACAATGGTCTTCTCACTCTCTCTCTTTCTCTTAGCTAATATTTTGTGATAGATTGAATTATTCAATGGATCAATTAGTGGGACTTTAAGTTGAACATTTTAAGTTTGGGACTTTGAGTGTGTGCTAGATAGAATTTGAGAAAATTATGCAATAACATCATCAAATATATGAAAAAAGGGGCAATGTTATCCTCTTGACTACAACCACTTGGAGAGGAATTTAGAAAAGGTCATCATCAACTATGACAAAAAAAAAAAATAGAACAAATTCTTCGTGATAAGATAGGGACAATGTCTGTAAATAATTTATGTACCACACATTAGTCATAAAAGGAATAAAAAGAAATAGAAAAGTAAAAAAAAAATTAATATTTATTAGTTAGACTCGTAAAAATTTAAGTAAAAATAATTTAAAATTATTTTATTTTAATAAAATATTACAAAAATTAAAATAATTTTATTTTTACTTTAAAATAAGATGTCTAATAAGATTATTTAAATATTTTTTAATAAAAATTTATTAAAATGATGGGATAGTTTTTAAGTTTTTTTTTCTAGTTTTTTTTTATAAACCAAGTTAATAAATATTTATCCAAAAAAAATTGTATTTACAAAGATAAAAATTTGATAAATAGAAAAAGAAAAAAGGTTTATTTTTAATAATCAAAGAAAAAAATTACCATTTAAAACTTAAAATATCCTTAAACTCAAATCACATGTCAACTTTTTAAATGTAAAATATTTTGTCACTCTCTTCGCCAACAAAAATTTAAATTTATATACATCTCCTACTCATTTCCATATTTTACCTATTGAAAATTTAAAACACTTATAAAAAAAAAAGATCTTTTTATTTTATACGTTAAAAATATAGTTTAAGAGTTTTAAAGAAATAAAATGCAATATTTAATTTATTAATTATTTAATTAAATTTATTTACATGATATTGATATAAAAATTAATATTCATTTTTATATTTTTAATATAAATTTATTATAAAAAATATTATTAATTTATTTTCTAAAGAACACACATTAAAAAAATACTAAAAACAAATAAAAGTCAGATCACGTGCTATATATAATAAATGGCGCTCAAACGTATTCATAGATGGACCACAAGTGACCAAATCATTACCCAATCACGCTACCCGCCAACCCCGTTGGCTACACCCGACGGAAAGCTAATTCTCATTCCATTCCTCTCATCTTGCCACGTGTCCTACTGGACCCAACCCCCTCCCCCAAATAAACTCCATTCTTTCTCTCTGCTTTCCCCCGCCGGGCCCAAGGCTCCATTCTTTCTCTCTCTAAATCTCGCCGTGGTATCCGGCGGCGAAATTCTAATTTATTTTTACTACGTATATTTTTTAAAGAATCCGAAAAGATTTTATAACTTTTATTTGAATATATATATATAAAGAATGTATTAATTATATATTTCATTTTT